CAGGGCTTTTGAGGAATAATAGAGGGTTAAACATCGATTAGAGATACAAAGAATAGGAAGTTGTGGAGATTCATAATCATCTATAACCTGAAGGGACATGATACATACAAGAAAAAAAACTACTTAATGAGATTCTTGGACGAATGCATTGAAAACCAGGAACATTTTTCGGAAAGGCATTTCGGTTAAAATTAATACGTAATACTTACATAAATTTAAAAGCGTATTACGTTCAATGTTTTAAAAAAAATATATGTCTCTAGTTCAAATGAAAATCTCATTCATATACCTGAAACAAAGTGTTGGTTTAGTTATTTTGTTGAATGCTATATTCGATGTGAAACATGTAATAGAAAAAAAAATGATTAAAAAGGCTACCCATGGAACACCGTCTATATCAGATATTGTCTACCTGAAGGTGATGAGCAACTGAACAGAAAATGGCGGGCAATTGGAAATTTTGGTGCTAAATATACGATGGTGAATATTAAAAATGTATTTCAACATACCAGAAGTAATATTCAAAATATGCCAAGATAAATATCTAAAAAATAAAATAAAAAATAAAATAAACCAGGTGGCAAATCGGATATAACTGTGTCATATTACAAGACAATATCCCCGAAAAGTACGAATACGTTTTGACAAGGGTCATTAAAATACAAATAGTTCTTCAGACGAAATATCATTTTTTCGAATCGAAATCAAATAAGCGAAGACAAAGAACAACAAAAATAGTCTCAGAACTTTTATTGGTTGCTAGTATAAACAAAAATTGTTCAAGTTTTTGTAAACACTTGACGTTAAAGGCAAAACTGAAATTGACCATACAACTAATAAGTTTTCTTTCGTTTATTCTTTAATACGGTAGTAGCAGCCGAAGCCACTGCATAAATCAGCATTATTTGTTACCTCCCTTTGGTACTAGTTCAAAAACTGACGTTATGATGTCGTAAAAAAATAGCAAACTTTTACTAAACAATTTCGCTATGCGTTTTAAATTTTTTCTTGAATCATTTCGCCCAACAATCAATAAAGCCACTGAGAAGCAAGTGGAGCGGTACTGAATGTTAAAAATATTAAAAAAAAATACTATTAAGGACAATAAAAGATCAAGTATTAAGACAGAAGATAACGATTGACCTAGTATTTATATTTTTGAAGATCAAAGTTGACTGGGAAACAAGAAGCCAGATGAGAGTTCCACAAGCGAGAAGTGATACAGAAGACACTGTTAGCATAGAACTTACGGTTACATCTAGCCATTTCAAGTATAAAATGAGAACTTGCCGCAATCTAGTACTGCGCTTAAATTTATAAAATCAAGATACCATAGGGGAAAGTTCATCAAAACAATTAACATGAAAGTATTTATAGAAAAGGAAGCTACTTTACGACGGTTGGAAAGTGACTGAAGGCGAGATGCCATGATAAGGTGAATAACCTTGCAGATACTTCTTTCGATTTTATTAAGAATCTCTAAATATATAGCAGGAACACCAGACCAGATGCGACAGCACTATTAAAAGTAGGTACCTCCACGAAATCGCTAAAAAAAGAGCATAGCTTGATGAAAAAGACGCCAACCTTGCCGAAAACAAAATTTTCTCGTCTAAATGCTTATGTTATTATTAAGAGGAAAGTCCAAATTTTTTTTTAATTATTTTTAAAATTCTTTCCTTCTTTTTAGAACATTCTAAATTTTGATTAAAAAAACTTGTTTCTCTTTATATCACCGGAACTAGTAAAATAACATAACAATTTTAGCACGTTTTTTTGGTATGACACACATTAATTTGGAAAATCTTGCAAAAATAAAAATAATTGTCGGATGTTAATGAAACTTTCAGGAACTATTCACAGATGATCGAAATTATTATAAATATGTTTTTTTTATAAAATTCATGGTAGAAATTTTTTTTAATATTTATTACCCCTCCCATAACTAATTTTATGAAAACGCTAGAAATTCGATCGCATCGGGTTTAGTGATTACAATCCTTAAAAGCACAAGGCTTTGAGGAATGCAAATCATGTTTTTTTTTTTTTTAATTGGACCCCCTATCTGAAAATCAGCTTTGAATTACAAAACTCAATATACAAAAAGATCAATAAAACAAATGATATTATTTAATTTCAAATGTTTTTATTTGCTTTTAGTTGTTTTTCTGAAAGCAAAAAATTTTCGATGAAAATGAATTTTTAATACAATTATTTGTTATTTCTTAATTATAATAGATTTTTACATTTAATTTTTTAAAATATTATAAAAATAGTTAGAAGCCGCATCGGGTTTCCTAAGTGTCCTTATGAGATAGATCTTTTTTTTTTTTAGCGCGTTGTAAATTGTATCATTTTGACTAATCAGAAGATCCGCGGTAATTAAGAAATGTAATTTTGTGTTTATAATCATGCTGTAATTATAAAGTACAGAAGACCAACCAGAATATAATTAAGTTGCGTTATTTGAGTTAAGCATTGTTCTCCGCTGTTAAGGCCTTTACTTTTGCGAAACATGTGTGGAGAAGTTAATTTGATTTTTCAATTTCAAATGAGAAGGGTACCTACAAGCATCAGTATCATCTTATGAAATTTACATGATCTTTTTTTTATATTAATCTCAGTTATGACATTTTTCCATAAATGAAATATCCATATTAAAAATAAAATGAATGGAAATACAAATAACACAGTAAAATGTAATAAATGTACATAAAATTATAGTATTTTATGTACACTTCTGATAAAATTTCATAAGAAAGGCACCTATAAATTAATTTCTTATGAAATTTAATCTCACTCTTAGTCTTATTTTAATTTCTTTATAATATATTTTCCATAAAGCATCGTAAACGTAAAGGTGAAAGCTAAGTACAAAAACAAACAAAAAAATTAGAGCGCTGAAAGTTTTTCTTAAAAATAATGAGGTAAATAATTTCTTCACTTAAATGTAAATAATTTCACTTTTCTCCTTCCGTAGAACAAATTATCCTCCCGGAATCCGTCAATATGTCATTCACCACCTGTCAAGTGACGGGAAAGTTTATGACCTGCTTTGTTTTATTTTCAAATTACATCTTTTCGGCGCAGAAGCTAAGTTAAGCTTCGTTCAAAATATTTTGAATAAACATTATAATTTCTGATTTTCTTAAAATAAGTTTTGAAAAAATGATAATTGATATTTAAAAGAATTTTAAAGTGAGATTTTCAGTTTTTTTAAATAAAAAAAAAAAAAGAAAAAAGGTTTGCCAATTTTGCTGACTCAAAAAAAAATAATGTCTCTTCCTAAAAGTAAAGTTTTTAATGAAAAAAAATGCATTTAAAAATGTTTAGGAAATTTCGTTTCCGTTTACAGAGAATTGTTGCTGAGATGAAGATATTGCGGAAGAATAATATTAGCCATATATAGCGAAATAGGAGCAGATAGGTTTTCCTACCACCCGTTCACACTTCTCCCAAGTGTTTTGAACAGAAATAGATGTTGATCTCTTCTTTTCCTGATTAAGATGAGGTTTCCAACGTCTCCGCCTTAGCTCTGACATTTTATTTATTACTTTTTTTTCAATAGGAATAGTTATGTTCATCTTTCGTACAGTTAACACCCTCTTCGCTCTTTTGAACAGGAGTAGATGTTTATCCCCTTGTTTCCTGTTTAGGATTGAGTTTCAGTTTCTTCTAAAATCTTCCCATTCTCTTTCCTCCCAGTTTCCTCCATACGTCTTAGTGGCATTATCGCCTTGTTTGGGGGTAATTAGATTAAAAGAAATATCAAATTTGAAACAGTTTGTGTCATTTATAAATGTACAATTACGAATTGAGTAAAAAGAAAACAATCAAAAAATTGGGAGGTTAGTTGATTCAACCACAAACCAGTTATTTAATGTTCAGTTTAGCATGGGGTACCCAATGAGGTTCAAATCAATATTCGTTATCAATAGTCGATTAATACATACATAATCGAGATGAGATTACCACATGTAGAGGCGACTTCAGCTTTTTTTTTTTTTTTCCATGCGCTATGCACCGTCAGGACATGGGCGATCAAGGATCTCCACTATTTTCAACCATTCTAATCAATGCAATAGTTGTAGGTTTGGTTTGATTTGTTTTTTTTTACGGTATATCAACCTCAATGTGTGTTATTTAATGCCGAGAAGATTTTTATTACTGGTAATATTTTTCTTTAAAAATGTATTGCTGGTGATATTTTTTAAAAATATAATTTGTTGTTAATATTTTTTCGAAAAAATGTATTGCAGGTAATAATAATAATGTTTCCTTCAAAATATATTGCTTGTGGAAGAATGTAACCCGTATATAAGAGAGTTGTCGGGACCGAAGAAGATATCCGGGTTTCTTTATATCCGGGTTTGGTCTATTTATATACATTAAACACAGGCTCTTTTGTCTATTTTGTTTAGGGTAGTATGGGCTCTAATTTGGGTCCAGAAAAAATCTTTATATCCGGGTTTCTTATATCCGGGTTTTCTTATATCCGGGTTACACTGTAATTTGTTTTTACAGAAACATATTGTTGGTATTAAAACCTATTTTTAAAATTTCATGGTGTTTTGACCTTTAGTATGGGGGTTGACTGCTTTCCATAGCTGGGGCCCTAACAGGTCCTACTACGCTGGGTCAGGGTGGACCTGGGAACATCACCACCAAGAGGCGGTCCCACTCTTCAAAGCCTCCTGATGGATGTAGTTTATCGTTTTACCTAGGACAGCAATAGTTGCAATTATACTATAATTGCCAGTTCATTCTCTGCCATCCATTTACACGCTCCTGTTAGGCTAGTTTTCACATGCCAACGCCTTTGCCTTTGTGCGTATCAGCATTGCCAAGCCATCTTTCCTCGTTAAGTGTTACAGAAATCTCACCTATTTCTTTTCTAAATGCAAGCGTCATTTTTGTTCCTATGTTCCATTAACCCACCGCACACCCCAGCTTACAGCACATGGTCGTCCCTACGGCTAAACCAGTAGCAGAAAGTTTACAACGTTCAGTCTTTTAGAAATTGGTTGCCGAGTGAGAAATCGGTCATCAAGCACGAAAGAACCTGAAAACGATATTAAACTCGATCCACACTGGAAAACGAGGATGGAACTTTTTTATACTTTTTACGAAAGAACTTAATAAATTCCCACCCACCCCAAACGAACCCAATCGTAAACAGTTTTAAAAGAAAAAAGAAAAGTTTGACCTACCCTTGTCCAAAAGACCGGGGAGGAGTGTGAACCGGGTGATATGTTTATTTGGGATATCTTTTTAATCCTTCCTCCTGCAATCAAGGTGATAATGCCTCTAAGACGCAAGGGTCTACTGAAATTGAAAGAAAAAGAAGGGTTTACTGAAATTGAACGGGAATGAAATACTTTGGGAAAAAACTAGAAACCCAATCGTAAACAGGTAACAAAAGGTTAAAACTCTACCCTTGTCCAAAAGACCAGGGAGGAGTGTGAACCGGGTGATATATTTATTTGGGATTTCTTTTTTAATCAGTTCCCCAGCAAGAAAGCAGATAATGCCACTAAGTGCGAATAACACTGATTTTCCCAGATACAGGTACTACGATTAAATTCTTTCTTTAGACTATTGCTTCAATTCTACCTATTATATCATACTTTTCAAGAAATCTTCTTTCCTCATGTGACATGCATGACACGCACTTGAGTGATCATGACTCTTTTGATTCATTATTGACATGGTAATAGGCTGCCATTAATTTATGCAATAGACTGGCTGCCAATCAAGGCTATAGGAGTCAGTCCGTCTTGTATTTTTCTCGTAGCTTGAGGCGAAAAGAAGGATTTATGTTTCCCAAAGTTGTTTGTGCGTCGTTGAATATAACAATCCTCAGTGGAATTTCGAACTCACTTCTTCGATTACGTATTACTAGCCGCTATCTATTACGCCTGCCGCACACTCCAACCACAGATAGATATTGGATCATCGCAAACGTCCCTGCCTGATGAGAAAAAAATGAAACAATGAAAATCGGGTAAAGGAATGTTGCCAGAATCAAAATCATAGGATGAGTACGTGTCTGAGATAGATAGATAGATAGATAGATAGATAGATAGATAGATAGATAGATAGATAGATAGATAAAAAGAGAGAGAGTCAAAGACAGACAGATAGAGAGAGTGATTCATAGATATAGACCTAGAGAGAAAGAAAAGGATAGATTTACATACATTCGGAATGTTGAAAAATATCGATCCCAAATATATATATAAAAACAT